TCATTAACAATCTGTTAATGCCAGTTTTTACCTTACCTGACCCTAGGACGAGCATACATGACTCACATAACTGTCTATATGATTGGGACGCACCACACATATCACCGCCACACACTCCTGAGACACCCATGATATATGACCACCTAGATGCTTTCCTTTCTGATGAGGATATTGACCTTGAGACCCCTCCTTTTTACCATGACTTCCCACCTCGCGAACATATAGGCTTAAACTTCCCGAACTCTCCGGTTGTTTCTCCGCCTCCTGTATTTTATCCTGCTCATTCTTTGACTGCTATTCAATCAGAGATTGATATGTTGAAGGACGAGCTTGTTATTCTGCGGATTGACTTACATTCCTTTATGGATACGGTAGTCGAACAGCTGGATTGCATTTATCAGCATCTTTTCTCTGCATCGCTTGACCTCTGTGGCTGATTTACCTGACATACTATTTTATTTTATTTTATTTTATTTCCACATTTAAAATATTGGGGACAATGTTTTGTTTAAGTGTGGAGAGACGTTTTATTAGATTTTCATTATTTGGCACATTATTTTTTTCAGTATTTTTGGAACTTTACCATTTAGTATAATTTTATTATTCAATATTTTTGGAATTTTATCATTCAGTACAATTTTTATTATTTTTTAGTTCCATTTTATTATGAGTTTATTTATTTTGTTTATTATGCATTAGTATCATATTTACGTGTACATGCTATGCTTAAATGATTCAATATTATTTACCCATATATATATATATATATATATATATATATATATATATATATATATATATATATATATATATATATATATATATATATATATGTAGAATTATTGAATTGGTATTCTGCAATATAGAATAATATAAAATATTGCAATTCTGGAAGTGTGTCGCTCGCCACACAAGCGTGACACCCGTCACACTTCATATAGCCCTGTGTCGCTCGACACATATGCATGACGCTCGGCACACACTGATATTACATACGCGTTCCTGTAATATAGAAACCCTCGCAAAAACATTTTCACCCTTCCAAATCCTTCAACAGTTGCTCATAATTCATTGAACCTTTTCCTAAATCTCTCCCCACATTCATTACCATAAAAACCCATTAAAATCCACATATCACCTCCACTATATCTCCCTACCAAATGGAACGAAGAAATTCCAGACCTGAACCTGATCTTTCCGACATTATATTTAATAACGGAGAAGCCAGAGAGCACCAAAAGGCTCAGTACCTTAAGTTCTATCAATGCTCCATCATACCGACACGGTATGTGGATACTGATTGTTTCCGTAAATTAGGCTTACTCGATAACGTCCAGTGGCTGCTCCATCACTCATATTTGACGTCCATCTGCATGCAGAACCTCCCGACATACGAGTCGCTAACCTTGGAATTTTTGAGTTTGTTCTCTTACAACCTGCCGTGTGACGAGAACGAACACCTATCCAGCTCCGCCACCTTTAGAATGTTCAACGACAAATATTCTGTTAGTCAATCCACTCTTAGTGCCTTCTTCCACTTTCCTACCGAAGGAACGGTACACCACTGCATTCCAGAAGACCTCGATTGGGCGTATATAGGTTTCAAGCTTTGGAAGGTTCTTACCAATGAAGAACCAAATAGTTGGGAAGGACTTTATGCTTCTTCCATCCATAATCCCGTAATAAGGTACTTCCACTGTTTCATCTCAAATACCATTTCTGGAAGAATGAACAACAACAAATTTAATTCAAAAGAGTTGTTCCTCCTCCACTGCACCTTCAAACCCAACCAAAAGATCAATGCAAGCACCTTCCTTTTATCGTATATCCATTCTTTGTGCACCAGAGGATCTATGTTTTTTTTGCATTGGAGGGATAATCACCTCTATAACACTTGGCCTCAACCTTCAAGACAAGCTTGCAAATCTGCCATCACTTCTGCCCATGTTTATTGACATTGAGAACTGTCGAGCTGGCCACTTGATTAAGGTCATAAGATATGGTAGATACAACCTCATGGTGCACAACAAGGTAGTTCCAAGTATCATTTTGCCAAAATTTGGGCTTACTAATGTTACAGATTTGTCTAAGTGGCTTTATGACCTTGATGCTCCTGCACCTGGAGATAATGCGAGAAGCGACCAGGGGAATATCCAAGCGGATGAAATGGAATAGGAGATGGAACAGGGAGACTCTGAGCAACAATCTCCTCCTGAAAACGTGGCAAGCACGTCCACTAGACCTAGGAGAAGAAGAGAAAGACAACCGACCTCAAATGATGACATTATGGTTGTCATAATGGAACAATATGAGAGAATGCAAGCCATGCAAAACAATCAAAACTAGATGATGCAACTGATGTTGGCTATGCAAACTCAACATGATGAAGGAAATGAGCACCAAGCTACGAGATTAACTGAGGATATGGCAACATTGACCGTACGCGTGAATAATTTTCAGGATTATATTTACCATGTAGCCATGCCTCATCCTCCAGGTACACGTGGACGAGCATGAGGACGAGGAAGAGGATGCGATAATGAGCAAGAATAGATCTATTTTGCTTCTCTTCTCGTTTCCTTATTATTTTTAAGCATTGGGACACTTCTTGTTTCAAGATTAGGGGAGCTAGTTAATAAGAACCCTTTGTTGTTTCCTAGGTAGATCTTTCATTTCTATTTCCTGTAATAAAAACAATCTATGTACTTTCAGCTTCATTTACGCAATTTTTCTGTTGTTATCTAATTTCCCACCTTCTTGATCCATAACAAAAAAATCTTTTTGTTCGTTACTTGCACAATCTGATGCATTCAAAAAATATATAGGTTTCTCACTTTTCAAAAGATATATCAGAAACTTTGAGCAAAATAGAAGTACGATGGATACCGTCGTAACACTCTAAATCCCCATATTATGTTAGATCGATTTTAGTATCCTTTATACCAAAACCTTAAACTTTAGCTTTAAAATAACCCGAGTAGTTTATCTAGCAGTCAGCACCATCTTAAACATAAACTACGTAGGGAGTCGATGAATATAAGTGAATGATCCAGTGTATTTGAAAGATATATGCTTTTCTGTAAGAAAATAGGGAATGCACTAATTAAGTTGGGCGATCCTTACATGGTCGCTTAATCCAACGGATGTAGAACCTACGTGATATAACACAAAAACCTGTTTTCAGTTGGTTCAGAGGTGTCTGGTACTGAACTTGGTAGGGTGGACTATGGTCCAATCCCCCCACAACTTGCAATTGGGTGAATTAAAGGAAGTAACCACATTCATGTTCCAGAACCTCATGCTTAAAAGGATCATAGTCACTAACCGGCTACTCTACTATGTGCGTGTAAAGATAAAGGGATTAATGTGATTGCGCTAGAATGAAAACAGGTAAAATTTAGCTAAAAGAATTGGATTGAGCTATAATGGCATGACTGGAATTGGGGGATGTTTAGTGTTATTACCGTATCTTTTATGTCATGTGGAGCTTACGTTTCCACAAAAACATAGGCAGCCTCTTATGATTCGAATTGTGTCGTGAAATTGCATTTAACTTGTGCCTTATTAATTTTTATACTGATTTTATTGCTTGAGGAAAAGCAAAGGTTCAAGCTTAGGGGAGTTTGATGACACGAAAAAATATAGCATTTTCCATCCGAATTACATAGATTAAATTTCTGATTCTTCGATTATTATGTCATATTCTATCCCTTTTTTGTAGTTTTGAATCATATTTCAGGTACTTTGCATTTGCAAGGCATAAATAAGAAAAGAAAGAAAAAGAATGGAAAAATGAAGAAGAAATGGCTTTAAAACAGCAAAAATGTATTTCTGTACAAGAGAAGTGTGCCGCCCGCCACAAGGCCATTACGACTGACACAAGTTGAATTATTGTGCCCCTCGGCATGCTCACATTACGACCGGAAAACTTGTGATTATGTTCCACAAATCAAGCAGCTACGAAGTCTTCACTAGTATAGCATATTAAGTGCACGTCACCTGGATTTTCTCCGCATAAACAACGCGAATCATGGAAGTTACCTATTTTTCCTCAACAAAAATGGACTCTATATTTAAGCAAGCAATTACCAGCTCTTGACCTCTCTCTCTCTCTCTCTCTCTCTCGCTCCTGGCTCTTTTGTTTTTGATTCTCTCTAGCCCGCACCTTGAACAATTACTATTACGAAGTTTTATTTTTCTGCAAACATTATTTTCTACTTGTATTTTGCTTTTTGATACCGTCTAGTTTTAGAATTCAGCATTAGTTTTCCGGTAATTTTATTTTGTAGGCAGTAAAAACCTCACCGTCAGAGCAGTATTTTTCCACATCGGAGAAATACTGCAACATTAGTTTGTTTCCATACCTCCAGAAATTGTTTAGGATTACTCGATTTTATTCGAGCTATTTTTACTTAAAGTCAATCCTATCGGCTTGTGGAGGATACACGCATTATTGAAATTTACTGCTTTGTATTCGCTTTCAGGTTCATATTTTAATAAGCATATTTATTAATTCTCTACTATGCATGCATTTTCGAATTTACATTTTAATTTTATGATATTTTGCAATAATATTATGTCTGGCTTGATTCCCTATACTGATATGTAGAACTTGACCTAAATGGGTTTGGTAATTAATTGGCATTATTATTTTTACAAAAATAATACTTTTCTGGTTTTAATTTCCAATTGAATATTTAAATATTTTTGTACGGAAGTAAGAAACAGTCTAAGGTTAAAATTCAATAGAGCGGAAGTTTGAGGTTTTACCCGGATAGTGGGTATTGAAACATTAATTTTAAAAACAGCGGAAGCGCTTTAAAGTTAATTGAATCTTATTTGTTTTCAAAAAATAATTTTGAGTTTTAAATGAAACAGCGGAAACGCTCATTTCGAGCTTAACATATATGATCTGATTCAATAGAACGGAAGTTTGAGACGAAGGTTTTTAAACAAATAATTTCACTGAAATTATGTTTTAATACTAAAAACAAATGCCAATGAGGTACTGAACCCCTTAAAGTTAACGAAATACATACTGGTGTTCCTCATTAATTATTAAATTCTAGTTAATTCCCTATTAAACCCAGACACCCAAATTTATTATTAGCCTTAGCTCTACATAGTAACCTTTAGATAACAGTGGTTTCTAACTATCAGTCCTTGTGGGTTCGATATCTTTTAAAACTACACGATAGACTGTGCACTTGCAGTCATTACACTGATAGACTCATATAAAGTCGCGATCATTAATCAATAAGCTCAAGATAGCACACAAGGGAAATCCCTACCTAAGTTAACATACCTAAAACCTAAGGGCGAGGATAACTATCCTATAGGAAACATGCAATGAGACCAAAGTCGTTATCTCAATTCTAATTTAGTGACATCATCGATCATCAACAAAGGAAAACGATAAAATCCTAAAGAGCTCTTTTTGTATTACAAAAAACACACACACGTTGGACTAAAGGAGAGTGTAAGTAGTGAATCAAGGGGTACACAAGTCAGGGCGCTAGGCCCAACTCACTTTGAGTCCGCATTGCTACTTTGTTTGCAAGGAAATTGTCCAAAAAATCCAGCTAGCGGGCCTAGTAAAGAGGTACATCATTTCGGCCCAGGGTTTGAGATTGTTGTGACTATTGGTCTTCTACATGAAACATATGGAATTCCTCCCTCTTTCTCTCGAACGGCGCCGCTAACTCCATTTAACACCTTCCTCCACCTTCAATCGTCCAACGCCGTAGTGCCGCCTCACACCACATCATTCCATCCGCCTCCGATCTTATATCTGCTTCGTATACCTCGCCTAAGATCATTCTCAGACTCTCTGCATCATCACCAATTCAACTCAGCTAAATCTTAAATCAAATTTGGTTCTCAGCGCCACAACACTTTGTTCAACTTTCTCTGATTCAACTCTGCATCTGTGTCACTGTGATAGTTCTTCTTCCCTATCTGATTCCGTTCGTTCTTTTTGATTCGTAAAACTCTCAAATGCCTACTTCTCCGATCGCGGTGCTCATCAACAGTGTTTCATCACCGTCTTCGCCTTATCCTCACCATATGCGGTTCTGTTTCAATTGTGACTCAAACTTCTTCACGCTTCAGTCGTGGTTCGAGTTCCAGCTTCACCGTGAGAGCTTCTGATTTCAACTTATTGGATCCTCTTCGACGCGATTTCTCACGCAAACCACTCAGTTTCCGTCTCAGTCACTTCGATCAAGTCAATACAAGTGAAAACAGTATATGATGAGGAATAGAGAATGCTTACCTACCGGAGTGGTTCCAGCTACTCTTCGATGCGGAAAAGATGAGAAATCTGAAAGATAAACTCAGGTATGCGTGTATTTTCATTCTCAATTATAATTCTTCTCTCTTATTAGAGATAAATATAGATTACTCTTCTATTAGGCCTATATATATAGATTGTTTAGTTAGTTCAGCTTTGCTGAGCTGGCATTTCTGTTAGGCCTATATATGGGTCTGTTGTAACGATTCTAAGTGCAATGAAGTGTGATTCAATTCTGTTACAGTTTAACTGCTTTCTATTTTCTTAACATGGTATCTAGAGCTATTTTCTTGATCTAGGGCTTCCATGGCTTCTCCTTTCAATTCTGAGGGAAGCTTTCCTTCCTCTCATGTCAAACTGTCACATCTCATCTCGGTGAAGCTTGATGAGAAGAACTTCAAACAGTGGAAACAACAAATTGAAGGCATTATCAGAGGACACAAGCTTCAGCAATTCGTCACGACACCACTTGTACCTCCGCGCCTCCTCTCCGGCACCGATCCTGTTACCGGCGGCGCCAATCCAGCGTTTCTCGATTGGGAACAGCAGGACGCCCTAATCTGCACCTGGCTCCTCAGCACGATCTCCGATTCGCTGCTTCCTAAACTGGTGGATTGCACCTATTCGTGGCAAGTATGGACTGAGGTTCATCGTCACTTCACCACTCTTCTTGCTACGAAGGCGAGACAACTTCGATTTGAGCTACGCTACTTGACCAAAGGTTCTCGCACCATCACTGAGTTTCTTGTTCGTGTTCGTGAAATCAGCGAAGCTCTGGTTTCAATCGGTGATCCTGTTCCCTTTCGAAACCTAATTGAAATAGTGCTTGATGCACTCCCTGAAGAATACGATTCAATTGTCGCGGCGATCAACAGCAAAGAAGATATGTGTTCGTTGGATGAGCTTGAGTCGAGTCTTCTTGCTCATGAATCGCGCCTTGAGAAGAATCGTAAGTCTGCCCTAACTGAATCTGCTACAGTGAATCTAACTCAATCATCACCAGCACCGTCACAGTCCACTACAGATGCTTCTGGTGTGGATTCTAGTTCTGAATTTCCTACTGGTACCAGTCATATTACAGCAAACGCTGAGAATCAAGGATACGGAACTCGTGGTGGACGTAATTGGCGTGGTGGAGGTCGCTCCGGTCGTGGTGGTGGCCGATTTGGGAGAGTTTCATGTCAAATTTGCCGCAAATCTGGTCACGATGCATCTGTCTGCTACCACAGGTATTCCTATCCTGGAACTCCCTCATTCAATGCTCCCAGAGCTCCATTCAATCCTTATGCAGTGCCACCTCGTGCTCCAACCTATAATGCGTATGGTTATGCTCCTCCCCGTGCTTCAGTACCACCAAGAGCACCTGTTCCTCAAGCCTTTATTGCAGGATCTGATCCTCATTTCAGCAACCAATGGTGGTACCCTGACTCTGGCGCATCTCACCATGTGACACCTGATGCTTCGAATTTGTCTGATGCTTCATCTCTGAATGGAACTGAACAAGTGTACATGGGTAATGGCCAAGGTTTGTTAATTAATTCTGTAGGTTCTATGACTTTTCCCTCACAAACACAGCCTAATTCTTCTCTAATTCTCACTAAACTTCTGCTTGTACCTCATATCACTAAGAATCTCATCAGTGTCAGCAAGTTTGCTCAGGATAATCGTGTTTTCTTTGAATTCCATCCTCAGTTTTGTCTTGTCAAATCGCAGGATTCTTTTGAGATTCTTCTTCATGGCACTGTGGGAGCTGATGGTCTCTACAGATTTGCTAATCCTGCTATGTCCAAGCTTCAGCCTAATAGAAATAGCATTTGTAATAAGCCTAGTCCATCTTGTCTAAGTACTCTATCTGCAGCAAAATCTATTGAACATTGTAATGCTGATCTTTGTAATACTCCTTCCACTATGAATAAAAGTATTTCAAATTTTACTAAGCCATATTCTGTGTCTACTACTAATCCTGCAGTCAATATAACTATCTCAGATTCTAAATATCATCTATGGCATTCAAGACTTGGCCATCCCCATCACCATGCCCTCTCTGAAGTACTCAAACTGTGCAATATTCCTCTCCCTCACAAACCACCAAATGCTCTATGTGCTGCCTGCTGTCAAGGCAAATCACACAGACTTCCTTCCTCTTTATCAACTACCATTTATCACCATCCCTTTGAGTTAGTTGTCTGTGACTTATGGGGGCCAGCTCCTGTGTCATCTTCAGGTGGTTATTCCTATTTCCTAACCTGTGTGGATGCATTCTCTAGATTTGTTTGGGTCTTTCCACTCAAACTAAAATCTCACACCCTATCCCAATTCATTCAATTTAAAACCATGGTAGAACTTCAGTTTAATTGCAAAATTAAAACTGTCCAAAGTGATGGAGGTGGTGAGTTCAAACCTTTCACCAAGTACCTCACCAACTTAGGTATTGTGCATAGATTTACCTGTCCTTACACACACCATCAAAATGGCATAGTGGAAAGGAAACATCGTCACATTGTTGAAACCGGTTTAGCTCTTTTAGCACACTCCAAACTCCCAATGCGTTATTGGGATCATGCCTTTGTCACTGCAGCCTTTCTTATCAATAGACTGCCTAGCACCTCTCTTAACAATTTGTCTCCTTATACTCTTCTAATGCACAAATCCCCTGACTATTCTTGTCTTCGTGTATTTGGATGTGCTTGCTTTCCCTTTCTTAGGCCATATAACTCACACAAACTGGATTTTCGTTCTCAAGAGTGTGTGTTAGGCTATTCCTCAAGTCACAAAGGTTACAAATGTTTGGCTGCCAATGGCACTATCTACATCTCCAAGGATGTCCTTTTTAATGAGGGTAGATTCCCCTATCTAGAACTGTTTTTCCCATCCCAGTCATCTACCTCTGCTCCCTCATCTCACTCATGGTATACTTCTGCCATGCCACCTATTCTGCCTCCCATCCAAGCTACCCCTTTACATCAAGTTCCTCCTGCTTCACCCACTATGAATCAGCCCCTCCATACTCCTATTTCTTCCCCTGTAACCCAAGGTTCTCCTGTGCAATCTAGTTCTGTCCTAGGATCAGCAGCTTCAGATGCTATCTCCAACAATAGTTTGGCATCTCCTCAGTCCTCTAAATCTGCTATGGCTGACATAGCTGAAAACAGCACCATTTCTCCTTTCTCTCAGCCATCTTCTGCCTCACCAATTAGTTCCAGCTCTCCTCATGCTCCTATGTCTCATCCAATTCATTCCCTTAATGTTCATCCTATGCAAACCCGTGCTAAATCTGGGATTGTGCAACCCAAACGTCACCCCACCCTTCTCTTAACCCACATGGAACCTACAACAGTTAAACAAGCTTTGGCTTCCCCTCACTGGCTTCAGGCCATGAAGGATGAATTTCAGGCACTCTTGAAAAATCAGACGTGGCACTTGGTGACTCCTCCTATTTCAGCTAAGCCTATTGGCTGTAAGTGGGTTTTTCGTGTTAAGGAACATCCTGATGGCTCCATTCACAGATATAAGGCTCGCCTGGTAGCCAAAGGCATCCATCAAAGGGCTGGCAGTGACTTTACTGAGACATTTTCTCCGGTTGTCAAACCGGTTACTGTTAGAACTGTGCTAACTCTGGCTGTTTCAAACAGGTGGTCTATTAGGCAAATTGACATCAACAATGCCTTTCTAAATGGCATTCTTGAAGAAGAAGTCTACATGGTGCAGCCACCTGGCTTTGAAGCTGATGACAGGTCCCTTGTCTGCAAGCTTAACAAAGCTTTATATGGGCTAAAGCAGGCCCCCAGGGCCTGGTTTGATAGGCTGAAAGGTTTTCTCCTCAAGCTTGGGCTGAAGGCAAGCAAGTGTGATCCTAGTCTATTTTTTCTTCACAGTGACAGCCTAACCATCTTGATTTTAGTGTATGTGGATGACATAATAATCACAGGAAATTCTCCCTCTTATATTTCTAATCTTATCAAAACTCTCAACACCACATTTGCTCTTAAAGACTTGGGGCAACTGGACTATTTCTTAGGGATTCAAGTGAATCATCTTCCCAATGGAGCCTTACTTCTCTCTCAGTCCAAGTACATCACTGATTTGCTTGCTAGAGTAAACATGTCCACTGCTAACTCTATGCCCACCCCTATGGTTTCAAGCAGCAAACTCTCTAAATGTGGTTCAGAGTCTGTTGCTGATCCCACTCTTTTCAGATCTGTAGTTGGAGCCCTACAGTATGCAACATTAACCAGACCTGAACTCTCTTTTTCTGTCAATAAAGTCTGCCAATTCCTTTCCAATCCGTTAGAGGAGCATTGGAAGGCTGTCAAGAGGATACTTCGGTATCTTAGTGGAACAGTTCATCATGGTTTACTCATTCAGCCTGCCTCCAAGCAGCAGCCTCTGTCTCTTTTAGGGTTCTGTGATGCTGACTGGGCAGCAGACCCTGATGATAGAAGATCCACTTCAGGTGCCTGTGTGTTTTTAGGTCCTAATCTCATATCCTGGTGGTCAAAGAAGCAGCAACTTGTGGCAAGGTCTAGTGCTGAAGCCGAGTATAGAAGTATGGCTCAATTAGCTGCTGAACTGATTTGGATTCAATCTCTCTTAACTGAACTTCACTGTCAATTTCAGATTCCTAGAATTCTCTGTGACAACTTAAGTACAGTCACTTTGGCTCATAATCCTATTCTTCACAATAGGACAAAGCACATGGAGCTTGATATTTTCTTTGTTAGAGAAAAAGTCCTCAACAAAAGCTTGACAGTTGCTCATGTTCCAGCTCAAGATCAATGGGCAGATGCCCTTACTAAGCCACTTTCTGCTAATAAGTTTCTCCCTCTAAGGGACAAACTGAGAGTTTACAACACAAAGGAACTTTTGAAGGCACCCTTGGTTTCTAAGGGGGACTATTAGAGATAAATATAGATTACTCTTCTATTAGGCCTATATATATAGATTGTTTAGTTAGTTCAGCTTTGCTGAGCTGGCATTTCTGTTAGGCCTATATATGGGTCTGTTGTAACGATTCTAAGTGCAATGAAGTGTGATTCAATTCTGTTACAGTTTAACTGCTTTCTATTTTCTTAACATCTCTTCTTCCAATTTTGTGTGTTCCGTTGCGAATTATGTCGTTCTTGTGCGCAGAGATGAAGAGGATTGTTGATTGCGTTGCAGCAAAATGATGAAGATGAATATTGCGATGAAGATGATGCAACGCAAAGAAGTGAGGAAGATGTAAAGCTTGGATGAATATTTGGCTCAGATAGAGAGCAGAGAGATTTTTCAAAACTTTCTTCGTGTTGATCCTTCAAGTCGTGAAGAATGAGAGATTTTGTAGTTCTGAGTTTCTTGGTGATTCTCCCAGAAATTGGAGAGTGAATTTGAAAGAGGTATAAATCATTTTTTATCAATCTGTTAGAGCTAGGAAAAGTTAGTTACAAGGGAATGAATCTTGGCTTTTGGATAGTGATTTTCCGTTAGAAATTTTGATGGATAGGATTGAAATTGATAGGGGTTAGAGATAGTTTTTTCTGTTACGCTAGCTGGCACTATTAGTTATGTTATTGAGTTAGTTAGTTTAAGAAATTATGTTAGGGTAAAAGCTGTTACAAGTTAGTTATAGGGATCTAGAGAATTAGTTAAATTTTGTTAGGGATTTGGTGATGTGAAAGTCAGTTTGTTGAATGTCAGTTGAAACAGTTAGAAATCATTTTTTTGTTAGTTAGTAATGAGCTGGGGGCTGTATTTCTATTATGGTTTAAATAAAGAGATGGCTTTTTGGTTGTTATTTTATTTTGGTTTTTAATAGGTTCAGGAGCTTATATTGGTGTGAATTGTTTCATGGTTTTTTCTGATATGTGCAGGGCTATAGAGCAGTCTGAGTTTATTACCATGGAAATTGGATGTAGGTTTTGATGATTGGTCATGGAAGTTGGCATGGTACAAGAAATCTTTGGCACGGTGTTTGCAAATGAAGATGAGCCGAATTTTGGGGTGTGAAGGTTTGGAGTTTAGAAGTGAAGATGGAAGGAAAAATTGAATGGAGACTTGATAGTTTAGGATTAAGTTTTAACGTAATTGTTTCTTGTAATGGTGATGATATTGTAATTATACTTGGAATTGTAATGACCTGTGATGGTTTGAACTTGGAATTGTAGTATTGTATGATTTAAACTTGGAATTGTAGTATTGCATGATTTGAAAATTCCATGATAATCCCTTAAAATATTAAATCATTTTCTTCCAAATTTAATTTTGAATGCCAAACTCCTTTGACCTTAAACCCATAAAATCCGTAGTGTACAACGCTTTTTTCAATTGTAACTTGAATAGGTCATGTAATACCAAATTGAATAAACCACCATCTCTCAATGTCTTCAAGTGAATGAATTTTCCTTGTAATTCTTTGCCTCTGGAGCCTTAATTCAACATTTTAATTTCAAACTTGCATGATAAGCAACAATTCTTTGAAAGGATGATGGTGCCTTGAATTTCAAGAAACTTGCATTTGCAAGCAACAAACAATTGAGAGAATAACCAAGTTTTGATCATAATGAATCTCTTATTTTATATCTTGTATCATGCTTCAGGATTTTGTAATTAAATCATCAAAGACAACTCAACTTGGTAACCAATGATATTAAGACAAATGCCTTGAAGAAAGTCTTGAAGAAGATAGTTTGAGAACTTGAGGATGAACCATAACTCAAAAGATTCTCCTCTGAAGTATTGACGAAAACCCTAGAATTAACAAATCAACCCTAATTCTACTCAAACTCAACTGAATGTCTTAACCAAAACCCAATCACAAAAAAATTAAAACCCTGATCTTCTGAAAAATACAGAGAAATAAACTCTGATTAAAGACCTTGGTGAACTTCGGAGAAGGATAATCCCTGTAACTTGATGAAAAGAGATCCTCAATAACCATGAATCAAAACCCTAATGTCACACTTCACTTCTTGAAGAAGAATCTGAAGAATTAGCCTTTATTTGATATGTGTGTCTCAAAACACTATGAAACCCTTGGCTTATACACCCACTAAACTTTTGAACCTCAGACACCTTATTGAATGCAAATGTATGTTACGCTAGTGGCCTAATTGAATATATGCAAATGAATGCAAAAACCTAAGTCAGATAATAATAAACTAGGAGTACAAATTTTGGGGTACAACAGTCAATAGTACACAACAGTCTTTTCTAAACTCTCCCAGTTTAGTGCATTTTTTCTTAATACTACCCATGAAGTTCAACCCAGACTCCCCCTGAATCTGAGACCCCTCTCACTTTCATTCAAATGTTCTTCCAAGTGTTTGTACAATAATAAAAGTATTTGAATTAAAGAAACTCAATTATAACACAAATAATCTAATCTCCTAACTTAGAAAGATAACCCATGATAGAGTATTACAGCACAAAACATAAAGACTCAATACAAATAAAAATGTCAAGCTACACAATGCAAGTTCTAAGGCTTCACAAAGGAGAATGCCTCCTTAAATAGCTACAATTTCTCAACATAAAAAACCAGGTAGGGTTTTAACATGTGAGCGGTTGGAAACCAAAAAGAACATAAAATAGGAATATTCTTAAAGTTGATTTTGAATCTTGATTGAAAAAAATACAATTAAATATGAATCTTATATGAATAAGAATTCCAATCTTTCTAAAACATATTTAAGACAAATCTTTTTCTAACGAAAAAACGCTTTAGCAATCAAATATTTGATTGGATAGAAAAGAAAACAAATCTCAAAAATACGAGATACACTCCCTTAAAACTTGCACTCCAAATAAACACCTCGAGACATGATATCTCGTATAATGTCAGAACATATAACTTAACATGCTGCTTTTCACAAATGCACCATGAACCACTTCGAAACCAAATGTTTCACATCTTGACAAAACATTGCTTAACTGGTTACCTACAAAAGATTTTCACTCATATGTAGTAATAATACTCATGACTTTAAAAAGAAATAGGTGTGGCAGTGTGATTATTATTATGAATACCTATGAAGTGTTCAACAAGAACAACAAGTCTATATGGAGCCCGAGAGATATAATGCATTAAAATATTAAAACTGTTGGATGAACACAATTATGTCGCTAAGTATATAAATGTTTAGTTATGAAATAAAAATCTTAGATACTTTATATGTGCACCTACAACGCATCAAAATGCTTAACTCATTTTCCATTGTATTTCTCATGGACTCCACTTATAATATAACCAAATATAATCCACTTGTTCCAATCTAGAACTCAGATTCACAAGGGATGTCAACGGATTATCGAATGATGATGATGCTTGGCCAAACTTTTCGTTTTTGGCCTACAAATTACATGCAAAAATTGATGATCGTAAATATGAGGTTTTTAGGTTTGAATGGCGTGTACCTAAATCTGTGAACTTCTTTAAAAAAATTATTAAGGTCCTAGGATTTTAAAAAATCTAGATTTTTTTCTTCAAATGTCTTAGAAGATATATGTCACGGAATCCTGCAAGTCCTTGTTATTTGATAGTCTATCATCCGTAATCAAATGTGTCTTTAGAGTGTGTCTTGGGACACCCACCATACTAGGACTAGGGTGACCTAACTCTCCAAATATTGGCTTTGGTGGAACCTGAGTGACCCCATTCTCTACGGGTTTGGCCTTGGCCAAGATTATACATCATCTTTATTTGAATTTGTTAGTATCACTTCTACGAAATTATATATTCAATTTCTTTTTTTTTTTTTTTACGGAATTTGAAAATGAGTATAATGTTATTTGGGTTTTAGAGATGTATAACAATTTGTTGAAATATATAAATAATATCTCTCAAGTTACCAACAATTGTTGATTTAAAAAGATGTTTCTAAAATAGCAAATTATACAAAGATTAAGTATAGTAATACAAAAGTGTTGATAGCAATATACAAATAAAAGTTCTTTAATTATTTACAAAAGGAAAAATACTCTTTTTCGTCTCTTAACTTTATCTCGGAGTCCATTTTGGTCCCTTAACTTTTAAAAAGATCACAATAGTCCTTTAAGTTTTTAAACAATGTCATTTAAATTCTTTTCGCCCAATTTTTACAAACGGAGTTTAATTTTGCACGCGTGGCATCTCTTCATATGCGTGACATCTGACGTGGCATTTTTTCACCATCAAGGTTATCAAAATTTCAAGAAAATTTCTAAATTTTTTGTTTAAACCAAGATTTGAACCAATTTTTACAAACGGAGTTTAATTTTGCACGTGTGGCATCTGACGTGGCATTTTTTCACCAACAAGGTTATCAAAATTTCAAGAAAAATTCTAAATTTTTTGTTTAAACCAAGATTTGAACCATGGCCATCATGTTCATTGAGCATCATGGGGAATCATTAGGCCATTTTGCTCACATTGTATAACTTATAAACCAAATATAATTTAGCCCACTTTGGCCACGTTGCTACTGTATGCCTTTATGTAACTACAAGTTCTAATAACTAAAAAAAGCCATTGTTTATCATCTTCTTCGGCTGACTGTAAAATCTCCCTCTCAATCTGTTTTTATTCGATTTACTGGCAAGCTTCCTTCAAACACGACAAAACCTTCAACCTATCCACAAACCACTTCACTCCAGTCACAAACCTTCTCACGATATCACAACCTCGGATCCCAACCACTTCAATACTCCGCCGATCCAAACCCTGAATCATGAAACCTGTTCCGGCCAAGCTCAACTCCTTCATCCTATCTCCAACTCATAACCATTTCAACACAACAACACCTAACATCTTCAAGCTTTGATCTGCTTTTTCCCTCTTGTTGCAGCGGTATAGTGGCAAATAAAAAGTAAGTTATTAATTTACCGGGTGATATTTAGGTTATATCGTATCGTGTTCACAGAGATTGGTTATTGAATTTCCATTCGAAAAATTATTCATGAGTTTGGGTTAGAATGGTTTTGTATATAAGGTGTTGAAATTAAAAGTTATACACAAGAAGAATTTCATTATTCGAATAGGATAGAACTCTCGAGTTTGTATTCCGTCTACCCCATCAAGTACTTAAACTTACTACCCAGTTGTACTTAACCTTAACTACTCATCAATCTCATCACGTATCGCTCACACAAAGGTCATTTCTAATACAGAGCAAGATATCAACCGTGTCGCTCCGT